ACACGAAAAATTCGTAACAATTCAATAACAAGAATTTCAATAAGATAAGCCATAATAAACTTTTTTTTATCACTTTTGAAGCATAAAAGGCTTACGCTTTAAATATCATAAACTCAATACCATTAATCAATCACTGATACATTCTTCCCATGCCAAAGCCTTTAGTGCTCAATTACTTACATAAAAACCTTCGCTGATTCCATACTTTTTTCGTGGTACGTTATTTAAACGATACTGTATTTTCGTTGTGAATTCAAACAGATTGTAGGCGTCGTTTTCATTGGTAACAAAGGTTTTTTCACGGTCAGTTTCTTTGGCAGCAGGATCCCTCAACCAACAGCCATACGTTTCGTTCACTGATTTATGGAAAACAGGCTTGCCAACGGCATACAAAAGGCAGCCTGCAATTGAGATGCAACATTAAATGAAATTAATTTAAATTATATATAAAAAAAAATATACAGAAAAAATATGAAAAATGGTAGCATTTGCAATGAGTTAAAATGGAATAAATTCAATTGAAGCGGAAATAGCCACATAAATTTTTGCAAAATTAATTATCTCACAGATAGCGCATGGCTTTCAAGCAAAGATGAGCTTTTTAGAAAAAAAATTCAACTTAAATTGAATTCAATTAGAGTTTCTGAAATTATTCGTTTTTCCCTTAGATTTATATGATAAATTTAAAAAGAGATAAAAAAGCATTCAACGTTATTTATGCACTTACTTTTTTGACGTTTTGGTAGTCCAGGATAACTATTATTTCCAGTCGGTTGAACTTCAAAGTTGGAATTAATCGAGTCCTTGCACTGATATAAACTGAAAAAAAGAATTTTATTTATAATTATATATGTGGGTGCAATAAAAATATTCGACCTTATGGCACTATTGTCGAAATAAGCGGTTGTAATGAATAAATTATTCAACGACGCAAAAATGCAGCAGCAACTGCAGTAGTAAAGATGAGCAGCGTTTAAAAACTGTATTGCAAAGCCAAAGGATAACAGATTTATGCAGGAAATATTTAAAAGAAGATTTTTTTAAAAAAGTATTTGTAACTGCACAGTCTAACGTGCTGCAGCATCAAGTTAGCATTATAATTGTGCCGAGGGTCTGGTGAATTGGTTGGTCGATAGGTCAGTTGGTTGCACGATGCAGCATCTTATACCACAAACACGTACAATTGTATGGAGCTATGAATGAGGACTTAAGTGGGTGAGCACAATAATAAATTTAAATTATCCTCTTTGGTTTGCACAAATAAATGACCTAAATGGGAGAAGAAAGGCGCAAAATGGAAAATAAAAATTCTATATTCAGTTCTGTGTCGGATGATACAGTTTCAAGTACATGTAAATCTTACTATAAGGACTGTAATAAAGTATGCGAAGTAAACACAATTTTAAATAAGCGGACGATTTAATGGCGAAAATAACTGAAAAATATCTTCATTTTATGAGAATTTATTGAATAATGTTTTAATAATGCTTCATAATATACAGAAATTAGGTTTCTTTTTAAGGTTTTATTAATAAAAAATTTAAATTATGATCATTTGAGAGCTTTTAAATTACATTTTAGTATAAATTACATATTGATTTTGAAGCGAATCATAATTAACGAAAGCTAAATGAAGTAAGGAAATGAAGAATATATTGTTTAATTGATATTGGAGATTTTGGAGTAGCAATAGGAAATTTTTTTATATTTTGATTAAAACCTTGCTACGTTTAAAATTTATATTAAAAATTGAAATCTACAATTACTTATATCTATTATATCTATAGAGTCAGAACTCTTTTGTTCCAGTAATGGTTCCAGTATCTTTGTGTGTAAAAACAGAATATGCCTTAATTATTTGTTTTGCTGACATACTTCGATTGATAAAAAAAAATTTTAAATATATATCTGGCTTTCATAAAACCAAAATAAAATTGGAAATTAGAATAAAGAAACGTTGGTTAGGTGGTTAAGCATTACAATACTCCAAAGTTGGTATGAATTATTTTGTCAGAGGTTGCATAGCCAGTAGGGAACCCAATATTTCAACGTAATAAAATGCGTACCTATAAATTTGACAAGAGTTCCATTTGACTTTTACTACCATTAGTCATTACTTTGATGACCAAGTTATAGCTTGTTATAGTAACTTTTAGAATTTAACAGTGTAACTAAACATTATTGAAATAGCATAAGACAGCAATATGAAAGTTATGTGATCTGATTTTCTAACTTATATATATTTAATATCTTCTATTTGTTAATGGTAGTTTAAGCATTTGATATACTTGGTTTTTTTCAAGGTAATTGAGGTCTAGCGAGAGAAAACCATTAAAAAATTTCAAAACTTTTTTATAGTACAACATTTGCTTCTAATTACTTAGAATTAAGAATTAATTAAATTAATTAATTTAAGTTAAATTAAAAATTACAATAGCTTTGATTTAGAATATCTTGGCTAACATTTCCTTTAAACTACTTTTCTTAGTATTTTGAAATAGTTGAACACAACCAAAAACACAACCAACTCTTAAGATATAGCACATACCTTGGATCGGGGCATTCTTCACATACTGGACAATTGCTTTCGGGTGGTCTTTGGCCATAAACTTTAATTTCTTTGCCCACATACGGTGTCTCACTGTTGGGATCTTGTGCTGCAAGTAACGAATACAATAAACTAATTAGCACACATTTTCCCAATTCACATACAGGGAATGTATAATGAGATGAAAACATTCATATACACTTACGTGCAATTTCAAAATTGACCATTGTTGCATTAAGTTCGTTCCGAGCCACACAATGATAAAAGCCAAAGTCATCCTTGCGTAGGTTACTAATGGTTAAACGCATTTGAGTCTTGAAGCTATAAATTATTTTAAATGGAATGAAATGATTTTAGCATATTTTTTAATTTAACATTTACCCATCAGGATATAATTCCATACGATATTTATCGCCGGGGTCTAAAATTTTGCCATCATATGCACGTTCCCAGTACCGTATGGCTTCCGGGAAGGCTTCCACCTTAAATTGTAATTTTATTAAAAAAATTTTTTATTTAATTGAAAAATTCATATGGAATAAAATATAAATAAATGTATTAAATTACAAAAAAATGTATTATATTAAATTATCTATTTTGCAGATAAATTATGTCTAAAACTGTTATTGTGCCAAATATGTGATTCTTATGTGTTGCCACAATTTGTGATACTTTTTTTTTTGTAATATTCTTGTAGAGTGAAATTTCTATTTTATTTAGATGCTTTTTTCATCTCTAAAGCAATTTCTAAAAAGCAATTTATCAATTGCATGCATTTTTGGTGCATCATCTGTTTTTGTTGTGGTCTTCTGTAAATGTTCATATTGTTACAAAATGAAGTTGTCAAAGTGTCTGCAGTAGCCTTGACCATATTTCCTCAAGTACGAGAAGAGCTGAGTTGAATTTTTTTCTTTATTTTCAGTTTTAAGTTGAATTGCAGTTTTTAATTTTTCCTCTACTTTTTATATCCACACATCGTTGTCAATTTATAAAATATTCTTTAGCGGTCATGCTTTAAATTAATTTCAAAAAATTTAATTAAAAAATTTGTGGTGTATTTGTCTCATATATAATATCTGCTATATTGCTTAAATTCAAAAATGAACTAAAAAAATAAATTATCTTAATACTTTAAGATCAAACTATAAGGCAGAGTTAGCCACATCAAAATTAAAGAATAATTACACCTGTTCTCTGGATGAACACATTCTCTGTTAATGCTCTGTTAAAGACTTATTCATTTGGAAACCGATTCGTTGTCTCAAAACTACGCAAAAAATAACAATATCGTTGAAACTGTACACTTAAATTGAAGGAATCGGTTTAGATTGCTAGGGTTAATACAAAAGACCATTTATCACAGTGAATGTTATTCGTATAATAATAAAAATATACACATAAGGGATTTACTAAATGTTCAGTTTAAAATATCTCTCTCTCTTTCTCTCTCTCTCTCTTTTATATGCTATAAAATATAAACAGGAATCTTTCACCAGTACTTTCTTAAGCATTCATTTAGCCAATCACATAGTACTTTTGATATATATTACAAGTAGTATCGGTGTATGTCGATAGCAACAAACTATACGCATATATGTATATTTCATATGGATATATAGTACGCTATTCTGTCCTCCTAGATGAAGTATACAATCAATTTAAAACGAATACTATTCTAGATATAGGTAAAGACATCGTTCCATGGATAAATTAAATCTTTAAATTTACTTTCCACTGTTTTGCTTCAAGCCATTACCGGCGTCCTGATCGATTTAAACCTTTCAGACCTTACTTATAATGGGATCAGTACTTAAGTCTAATAAACGATTTGCAGTGCTTGCAAGAAAAATACGGAAAATGCTTAATAAAATGAGAAGATTGCCATAAAATTATTAAAACTGCAGAGGAACCAACCATCACGCTATAGTGACATGGAAAACGTTTGAAGAAAACTGTTTTGAAGACTGTAAAAGCGGTAATTTTCATAATACTATTAATATGCATTCTGCAAGGTTTTATTATGCTTGATTTGTATGTCAACAAACTAGTTTAAGGTTCAGGTCTTTCCTAATACAGTCCGAAAATTACATATGGACAATTAAACCAATAGATATAACCACGGACCATCGATTAAGTGGTGAGCTCAAGCATGCACATAACTAGAAATTAAACATTTTTATGGATTTGAAAATTTTTCTGCTCTAGAACTCTTTTGTATTCGAACAATTATTAAATCAATTATTGAATAGTTAATTAAATTATTATATTATAAGTCTAAAATACAATATTACTTCTGCTATCGAAGACATTCGTCCATATAACTAAAGTAACTATGTGGGCTTTTCGCTTAGCAATGGACGTACGATACTTTCAATAAAGAATCCTGAAACTCTATAAAACTAGTATCTCCATTTTTAATTTAGTATTTCCAATGGAAATGTTTTAGTTTTGTTTCCTAAAAAAATCTACAGCTAAATTCTTAAATGGTGAAGCACAATATATCTCAAGCCATTTATAAACTTTTAAATTTAAAAACTCAATAGAATATAAGGTGAAATATAATATTGACTTAAAAATTTGAGTCTTCAAACCAATTAAAATTTGTACTGTGCATCTTTATATTTTTTTAGTGAGTTCAAAACTGCCAAATGATTTATTTACTCTCCTAATTCAATTTAAATCACAATGATCAACAATATTTAATTCTTTTAATCTGATATTCAAATACTTTCTACATTTTGACTTTCTGTGTTTCCTTACCATCTCTTCTCTAAATTGACAATATTTAAATTTTATTCATATGTTGTATGCATATGTATGTAAGTAAATATTAGTTAGAGTCAATCTAAATCTTAAGCCAAAAATGAGATTTTAAATTATGCAAGTAACTGAATTATACAAAAATATAAATTTAATTGTTCAAGTAAATATTTGAACTGCTCTGTATTACAAATCTAACTCCAGTATAACATATGTAAAGTATCCAGTTTGTCCTTCACTTCCTAACAAATAACTTTACTTTCAAACAGTGCAGTATTTATTTTGTCTATTGTGGTAACTTTAACTATACGAGTATTACCGAGAATAACAAAGGATCAAATTTAAATAACATTTGTTGTCTATCTCGTTTTTCTAAGTATTTTATTTCATTCTACATAAAATGCACTTCGTGATTGCTCAGGACTTTAAAACCTGCAATTAAATGGAGAATGGAATTGCTTTTTAATTAAATTATTTCATTTAAGCTTCTTAAATGGTATTTGTTTAATTTAATTTAATTAATTTCAAACGATGTCAACAAATGTTTTGTAGAATTATATACAAATGGAATTGATGATAGAAATTATTTAAAGCATATTGAGTGAAAAATAAAAACTTTAACAAAGTAAAGTAGGAAAAGCTGTATTAAAGTTAATTTAAATACCTATAAGAAAACGAATTATAAAATTAAATTAGGGTTTAATATCAGATCACTTAAATTAGATAAGTAATTGAAGTTAGATTGAATACACAAAATATAACTTATTACAAAATTTTATACAAAATCAGACTGTTATAGACTTTTCGTGGACCACTTATGAGCCTATTGATTCAAGAGCTGTCAACATCACTTTAAGCTTTTTTTTAGTTTTTTAAGAACTTTGTAAAGTTTCCGACATCAGTCAGACAATTCATCAGGAGTCAGTAAAAGTGCCTACTAAAAATTGCAACCTGCATTGGTTGCTTACAACGTTAAACAGATAATCTATCAATAGTAGTTTGTAGCCTGCATTGGTTGCGTACAAAGTTGGTTAGATAAGCTACCAATCACAGAGTAGGTTGTACCCCACGTTGGTTACCTGCAACTTTGCTTACAACGCAGGTTATAACTTACTAAGTGGTTGGTACGATATCTGATGGATCATCATGCGATATTATCTTTATAATATATTCTGTGCGATAAGATAAAAAAATTCCATAATCATTATTTAAGCTTCTACTATTCCAAAACGAAATATAGATTTTATATTAATAAGCGATAATGTTTTATTATTCTGATTACAAATAAAAAATATTATTTTTTTAAAATCATAATTACAAAACTATATTTTTTAATATCTAAGTAATTATTGTAATGTAAGTAATGTGTAATATTGATAATTGATGCTGATAATAATAATAATCTGATTAAAATTTTTTATTGCAATGAGCGTTTGATTTTATAATTTATTTTTAAACAAATAAAGAATATTTATTAATTAGTATAGAAATAATTCAACCGAAAATATTGTATTAGTAAAAAAAATAATATATACCTTTTTTATTATAAGTAGGCTTTGCATTTTTTAATACTATTTTATATGATTTGTAATTAACATAAAAATAAAATAAATAAAATTGTTAATTTTTTTTTATTATTTATTTAACGCATTTTTATTTTTTATACATTTGATAAATTTAATTTTGCTAATAAGTGCAATTTTTTTAACAAATTATACTCTTTGGCATATTTTTTCGTTAAAATGGATATGTTTTCTGGATTATCAAATGCAGCTCAAAGTTGTGTCTTAAAACCGAAGTCACAGTCAAACGATGCTTATAATAGGAAAGTTTTGGTCGGAAATTGGTATGAACAGCGGCATTCTGATAACCTTGACAGAGCAATTTTGCCTTGTATTAATGAACAAAATAGTCGTAGTCCACATAAAAGTATTTATCAGGATACCTTTTCACAACCACTAGCAAATACAACAAGAAATGCCAGAAACTACATGGCATGGAAGGCTAAAGCACACTTTAATAGTGTGAAGAATGTTGAGCAAAATGTTAACATCTTTGGCATTGAACCTATTGAATCAGATTTGTTCAAAACTAAGAATTACACACATTTTCCACAATCGAATTTGGTTGTTACACCGAAAAGTAGTGAAACTAGTATCGATGAATCAGATATTCGTATCAGACGTTATGGTAAATCGACTAAAACTGAAGAAATACCAATTCCTGTTAAATCACTGTATCAGGATGCTTATGTTCCACATGCAGCTGTAAGTAAATCAATGAGCTATCGCAAACAACATGAAGAAGGTAACAATATCTTCAAGAACTGCATTCGGCATGAATAGTTGTCAAAAAATAAAAAAATTTTATGTTAATATAAAATTGTCAGTTACTAACGAAGTAAGTTGCAATAAATATTTATATCCTAAGCGGGTTATTTGTGGCTTTATTTGGTTGCGGGATGGGTTGTCCGACATTTCGATTTTTAAGTTTCACTGTGCATTTGAGAAAACCATTTACGAACATTATTTATTGCCTTTTATAGCAAATATTTTGTACTTGAAGGCAACGACTAAACATTGTACTCGTATAGTAAATAGAGAGTAAATTTTACACTAAAGCTTAATAAATCTGGAGGCTGTAAGTTTAAGTACATTACGGCTTGCATCCTTCAGTAGCAACAATATTCTTTTAAGTAAACACGAATAATCTTAAAATAGTTGTATTTTCTTAGTATTGTATAAATAAAAGGTTAGAACTTATTTAATAGTAAATTGCAGATTTTTGCAGAAAGAAAAAATTGAACAAATGGTGGATGTGTTTAAAAATAAATTAAAAAGTCATATTGTAAAATATAAAAGATATTAGCTAGTTTGTTAATAAACTATTCTTATTGCCATCATACAAGAAGAAATCATCAAAAATATATTGTTTAAAAGAAATTCCAATATTTCCTAAAACCACTAATGATGAGTATTTGCCAATACTCGGATATACTCGTATGTCCAGCCAAATTTCAGTAAATTAACAAAATTTTTGTTTTTGTCTTCTTTTTGCTATTCAATTTTCTAACTTCTAGCTTCTATTTCGTCGTAAGAAGTGTAGCTTTCGGCAAAAATAATTAATTTTATATTTGAATAAAAATTAAATTAAATATTATTTTGTTTTCTAGAATAATCTGTTAGAATCCAAATATTGTTAATTTTTATCCATAGTCGTCAGCAATAAAAATGTTAATCCATTGTGGAGAATTCTGAATTGATTCACAATTGACTTTTAAGATTAATTTTATGCATATATAACTCTTATGAAAGAGTTATAATAGTTACACTAGATTATAATCTAAAAGCATAATGTCAAGGCTATGTATTGAATGCATCAAAGCTCAAGGTTTTTGATTTTTTGATAAACAACAAATATGTGTGTAGTTTAGCGTTACTATTATTAATTTCAATTTATTGAGTGCTATACTCCTTTTTACAATTCCTTGCTATAGCAAACACTAAGTGTAGTAGCCTTTACTGATTGATACTTTTACAAATCTACCGAACACTGCATAAACTCTAACATCGTGAGGTTGGTCTTGAGGTTGGTTTTATCAAAAAGGGACCACTTCCAATTTTTTAAATAAATTATGGATCTACTTGAATTCTGGATTTTCCACTGTTTATGTAGCTTTATTTACTTTTAAATTAATAGGTCTTCATGTCAGATAGTCAAATGTGCTTCACTTTTCATCATATGTAACCCAAATCTTTCAAACTTGGTTTGTTTTTGTGACATAGTAAAATATGTGTTTATGTTTTAAATGCATATGTTATAGCTCATATATTTTTAAATATATTTGTCTTTACTTATATTTATGTGTATTTAATGTGTATTTATCAAAATTTTACCAATATCTCTTACAATTCATGTACGATTTTGATTTCATGATACAATATATACATATAAAAATATTATTAGGTGCACATATGTACAGACTTCTCTGTTAAAAATCAAACTTATATGCATTGTGGAAAAATTTTATTAAACAAATTGTAAATAATTGATTAAAATATAATAAACATCCATTTTGAATATCTGTTTGCATGAAAAATATTAAATTTTTGCTCAAATATAAATATTTCGCTTACTCTTAATTTTATTTCAATTTAATAACCATTAGTGGCACTGAAAGTTCTATCGAAACCAAATAAAACGTAACCAAACAACATATTACGTTATAGTAATTACATATTAATTAGAAGTTGTAATCAGAGAAATGCAATTCGGTACTAAAACCGCTTCTCATGTTTACTTTAAAAACAACACATAACACAAAACAATCACATTTACAATTTGCATATGTTTACAAAACAAAAACATCATACTTACATATATATGTATATATATATATTATT